ACAAGAATCCTTGAGACGATATCCGAGTTTAATTGTCGTTGTACTGCATTTTTACAAAAATTACTCGTTTTTGATCCGCGAGCGACCGCGGATCAAATTGGCGCCGTTGCCGGGGATTCTTATTAATTTTAGCCAAATGTAAAATTTTAATTTTAGAGTTTTTGTTTTTTTTGTTTTTTGTTTTTTGTTTTTGTGTGTAAATTTTCAGGGTTGCAGTACAGTGGTAAGCGTTTCAGCCTATCAGGTGAGTTTGTAAGCTATTGTTCCGATTTGCTCCGAATTTTTTCCAGAAAATCAGAAATAAATCGTTTAACAATACTCATTTAGAATAGAATTCTAAAAGATTTTGACCCTGAAAATCGCAAATTAGTTATTTTTCTATTTTATTTTATTTTTTTTCTATTTTCATATTTTCAAAAAAATACGAAATTTTTTTTATTGACTCATTTTGATTTTATTTGATTTTTAGTTATATTTTTATAATTTTTAGATTTAATTTTATTCGGTTTTCTATTTTTCCATTCTTTTTCTTAACGGGGACATTGTTGGTATTTTTCTAATTGTTGCTGCATTGCCGAATTTGTTCTTTGTTTTATTTTCTTTGTTGATTTTCCTATTAAATTTAATATGACAAATCAAATAACTCTTAGAGAACTTGTTGCCTATGATACGAACTATAATGCTTTATGTATGGAATATCCTGTTGTTAGTGTACCTTTCGAATTGGAATCTGATTTAATACACTTGTTGCCAAGGCTTAATGGACTTGCAGGTGAGGATCCGAATAAGCATATGAATGAATTCCAAATTGTATGCTCTACACCTTCTGAACCTTCATTAGAGGACCTTGTCAAGCAAATGGCTATAAATGATCTTCAGTTTCAGCAACAAACAGATTCAAGTCTTCAGGCTCTGCAGACACAGATTGAACAGTTTGCCACTATACTGAATGCCATGCAACAAGCTCAAGAATCAAACCAACTATCTGCCCAAACAGTAGTGAATCCAAAAGAGTTACCATCTGATTTAGTTGATGATATTCATCCTGAGTTGTTATCTGATTTTCCATCTTTATTAGATTATGATGATACTTACTCTTGTGATTCATGTACCGACACTAACATTTGTTCTGTTTGTGCTGAGATTAATGCTGCCGTACAGGGTGATGTTTTTCATGCAGATGAAGTTGTTTATGTAGCTAAAACTCTTAACATCACGGCTGCCCCAACCTCACCATCCATTGAACAACCTTCCCCCTTGGAGCTTAAACCACTTCATACCAATCTGAATTATGCTTATTCAGATATGGATAAAAAGCTTCCAGTTATAATTTCTTCTAACCTTGATTTTGATGAAGATAATAAACTTTTACAGGTTTTGAAGAAACATAAGAAGAGAATTGGATGGACCTCGATGGAAGTGGGAAGAAAAGCAATGAAGCAACCCCTTAACCCATTGATCTCTGATGTTGTGGAAAAGGATATCAAATTCACGTGTCCATTCGACACTTTTATTTATCGAAGATTCTTCTTTGATCCTGGAATAAAAGGCGAAGACACTAATACAAATTTCAAGGGCGATGGATGCTATCCAAAGTTACTTCCCACTTTGGAAGAGGAGACGGCAAGAAATCTCTCTTTGGGAAAGGATGCATATGTGATCACTTATCCACCTTGACTCCTCGGGTGTGTTCCTTCCTTTCTCTCACTCTTATTTTATATTTATGTTCTTTCGTTGAGGACAATGTATGCTTTAAGTGTGGGGGAGGGAACCATTTACTTTGTTTTATTTCTTTCAATTTTCTTTGTTTTGTTTTCATTTAATAAAAAAATTGTTTACTCAGAAAAACACAATGCATTTTTTGAAATTTTTGGGTTGTAGATCGATTGGAGGTCAGATTGTAGAGACTTGAGAAAAATTCATAAGATCGGTATCGTTTTAACACCTTGAGTCTCCAAAATATGGAAATCGATTTAGATACTTGTTATGGCTTAGTCTTGAGTTCTCGTCCTTTAATAGCTCTTAAGTAGTTTATCTAGCAGTCAGCACCATCTAAAAATCACATGCTAAGTAATTGAGCTGATGCAAATAAGTGAATGATCTCGTGCTTAATAAGAAAAAAAAAAGAGAAAAAGAAAAAGACAAAAAGTGAAAAAAAGAAAAGAAAAGAAAAGACAAAGAAAAATGTCTAATTATGAATTGTTGAAAAAAAATATGGATCACAGTCACTAACAAGCTTAGTTACCATGTGTGTGAATAGATAAAGGGCTTAATGTGATTGCACTAGAATGAAAGAGAGCAAAAAGGAGGATGAGTAAGTTAGACTTAGGCATAACGACATGATTTGGATTGGTTTGTATAGGAGGGAGTCTTATGATTGCAAAATTGCGGATTTGTGTTCTTACGATATCCTTAGTATGCAAAAGTAGTACCGATCAATGCAATCTTGACCAAAGAGGAGTTCACAGCCTAGATTGAATAGCTGAATGTTTTTGTGTTTCATGAGTTTTGACAATACTTTGCTCGGAGTGCAAAAGTTCATGTGTGGGGGAATTTGATCAGTGCATTTTAATGTACTTTTCTCTATGTTTAGACTTAGGCATTTCTACCATTTAGTTTATTTAATTTCCTATTTTATAATGTTTTTACAATTTATTTTATTTTAAGCTTTATTTAATTTTCGTTTGTTATTTTTCAGCATTAATAGCTTTTAGTGAAAAATTCATAACTGGAGCTACAGGAATCGGATTGAGGCATTCTACCAGTCGTTGGAAAGCTAAGAAAGAGATCTACAACTTTCATGTTGCACAAAGGAGCTGATTCGGATTTCTTGAGTCTCGAATAATTCGTTGAAGTTTCTGACTTGTGACAATGTAGTTTTCCTTGCGGGCCTAGTTTAGGTTTCTGGCCCAATTATTTTCTATTTAAAGTTGTTGTTGTGATGCAAAACAAGGACCGAGTTTATTTTTCCGAATTTTTTCCTTTGTTTTATAGTTTTCATGGAGAACTAATACCTCCGGGCAAATCCTGCTGTGTACGGTTTCAACACTTTGAGGTTATTATTATGTCAATTTACTCTGATTCCTTTCAATCCTTTTCTATGAAGTCATCTGTTTAATTTGATTACAATTGTTTGCTTAATTCAATTGTTGTTCATAGGATAGAATTGGTTAAATTCGATTGTATGCATGTTCCTAAATTTAATTGCGTATTATCGTTTGCTTAATTCGTTAATTCGTCATATTCTTAACCGTTTGCTTAATTCGGTAAACAGGAACATAATTCATTTGATGTTGATAAGCGCTTGTCTGATTAATATCATAATCGAATAGGATTGGTACCGCTTAGGGATTGATGTTATAATAACCGATGATAAGTCGGAACCCGAATAAGTAGGATTAACCGTTTTAGTTTATCTGATAATCACTTTTTTTAATCATTTTTTTTCTTCTTATTTTATAAATCAAAACTTAAAACCCCCATAAACATTTTCTTTAGTTGGTTGAAATAATACAAGAATCCTTGTGAGAACGATATTTCGAGTCATTTGTCGCTATATTACATTTTTACAAAAATAACTCGTTTTTGATCCACGAGCGACCGCGGATCAATGAGATAAAAATTTCTAGGTTTGTTAAGGACGAAAAACAAGGAAAAAATGCAAGATCTACAAAGAACTGAGATAGATTTCGATGAATTTCGCTGGACTTTTGGAATACAATAGATTAGAATTTTATGGGTTTCGATTGATTTTTAGGTAAGAAATTGAGATGAAGGTGGGATTCAAGATTGCTGAGGATGATAAGGAGAAAGGTTTTCTGGAAATCAATGAGGAAAAAGTTTGAAAAAGGGTGAAGGATGATAAAATTGGGGATAAAATTTCAAGTTAGAGAGAGAAAGACGAGTGTAGAATTAAAGATTTAAAAAGATTGTGATATGAACAAAGGGAAAGAGATAATTGTGTAATCTCAAAGAAAAACATAGTCAAACACGTGACACATTACCTAAAAAGATTGTAGAAATAAAAAATAGTAGAGGACAACAAAATCTGGATTGACCAAAGAAACATGAGATTCGTTGTGAAAGAGAATAATAGAATTATCATAATAATCTTATATCTACTTATACCATGTTGACGGATGTAACTGAAATACATAAATGAGATAAACAAAAAATTACTCTAATTATTTGACAATACAAATGGATCATATTTGTAATATACGTGTATATGATCCAACAAATTTCAATTGGAGAAAAAAATATTTGTAATATACGTGTATATGATCCAACAAATTTCAATTGGAGAAAAAAAAATAATGGAGCTTAATAACATGGACTTATGGTAAATAAAACATAAATTACAGCAGCAAGTGACTAAAACAAATGGTCATATTTATCATAGTAAGCAAACACGAAGTTAACATATTATAAATATAGTAAAACATTTATTTTCTACCAAATAGCACTTTTATTTATTTCTAAAAGAGACCTCCTTCTCCTCTATTTTTATCAAAACATCTTAATAAAAAAATAAAGAAAATACTAAGTACTCTAAATGTACAACTTAAAAAATTTAATTAAAAATATTCTTTTGAAATTTGTATATTCAACATCTCAAAAAAAAATATATATCATTTTCAATTCAACTCTAAAATATTTTATTATTGGGTCAAATTCTTAGCAATAACTAAAAAACAATAATAGTAAAAGAAAATATTGTACGGTGAGAAAAGAAAAACGAAAAAAGTTTTGAATGGTGTTTGGTTATGGCTTCCATTCCCATTCCTAAAAAGCCGAAACCGAATTTCTCAATCCAAATTTCACATTTCTCAGATCTCAATTCTCATCATCATCCATGTCGGTAAGTTCTCTGCAATTTCTTTCGATAACTCAATTAGGTTTCATGATTCTTCATTATTGAATGCAAATATTACGATAATAACAATAACATGAAAAATTTATTAGATGATAGATTTATTATTCTGTAGATATTACCAACCATGGATTTACCTACCATTGATGTGGACCTTGGACCTAACAAGATTCCAGATGAAAAACAAGAAGGTCCTTTGTTTCATTGTGATCTTTGTGATACTGAAGTTGTTCACAAATTGGCTCAAATGTTCCTTCCAGGATTAGCTTCTGCTTGTGTTGATAACACAACAGGAGGTATTTTCAAGACTCCTGGTTCCGTTACCGTTGATTTGAGAAAGGAAATGATTGAATATCTTACCTTACGAAGTGAATCTTTTGTTGCTGAGTCTGTTATCTTGCAAGATGGACCAGACGGTGAAGTTTCTGATCATCCTTTCGATATTATTTCCAATTTCGTTGATGATTTCGCGAGTTCCAAGAGGAATTTCTTTAGCCGTGTTTCGGCGTGGCTTTTGAGTGAAAAGAGAGAGGATAAAATCGATGATTTTATTCAGGAGATTGATATGAATGGTTTTTGGACTCTTGATAGAAGAGAAGTGATTGCTGAAACGTTGCTTAAGAATGTTGATTTTAAGAATTTATATCATTGCACGGAGAGTTTTAATTCTTCTCAAGAGCTTGGCAATCATGTTCTTGCTTGCGATTTTAGACCTCTGATCTGCCAGAATCAGGGATGCAATGCTAGGTTTTGTGCAGGTCATTTTAAGAAGCATGATTCAACTTGTCCTTTCAAGATAATTCAGTGTGAACAGAGGTGTTCGAGTAGCATTATGAGACGGGATATGGACAGGCATTGTATAACTGCTTGTCCGATGAAGCTTGTGAATTGTCCTTTTTACGCAATCGGTTGTCGGTCTGCTGTCGCACAGTGTATGATTGAAAAACATTGTTCTGATGACTTTCAATCTCACTTGTGGCACTTGCTTAAAGGCACCTACAAGGAAGTGTCTGGGGACGATCTTCAACGACGAGTGGTGCAAATTGTGCAGGTCAGTCTATGTTAAGATTAAGAACGGCTTTATTATTTCCTAAAGTTCCAAATGCAAAACCATACTTTAGAAATGTTTCTGAACCATGAATTAGTAACGATTGAAAACATTTAATGCTAATTTGACTGAGTGTACATAAAGGAAAAAAATGTATATATAGTAATGAGGTTATATGAAAATAAATCATTTTTAAATGGTAGAATCAATCGAAAGGGTGGTAATTATTCTTTTATTCGTATTATATTTATTCAGAAATCTTAAACCTTTCAATTCTGAGACTTTCATTCTCAAATAAACACGTAATTTCATCACTGGCATGTGGCTATTTCCAATCCAAATCCAATCCAAATTGGCTAGTGCACCACCTAATTGATGTTAAAAGATTGTGTTAGTTAAATTGTTCTTTTATTAATTATACATTAATCTTTGTTACCAATATCATTTGCGGATGCTTCCTACCAATATGTATCCAGTAAGTATATGAAAGTATTTACCCCCATACAAGATGTAATTGTTACAATGTAACATATCTGTATTTTTATAATCTTTGATGATATTGATGCTGTTTGGTTTAGACATTCGCTTTTCGTATTTAAATGAAGTTTGATTCCATTCTTAAAGAGAACAAACTTTAGACGAAATCAGTGTTATCAAATAGCGGCGTAATGGCTGCTATGGCGGATATACATGGCGGTTCTTGGACTCGCCGCAATGGTAAATATCGGCTTTTATTGCAAGTTTTTCCGCCATAATCCGCTATAAAGGTGCTGCAAAGCGGCTTGTATGACGGGATTTTGGCTCTCCGACATGGACTGCCATCCACCATTGACAACACTGGATGAAATATTGATATCCGTCTTTTCCATTATTTATTTCAATTTAAGCAGTTGGTATTTGCACTACGTGTTGATCACACCCACACAATAGAACTGTCAATTTGTTCTAGTTTTATTAATTTGATGCAGTGGTGTAATGAGCCATAAGTTTAAAAACTATGGTCCAATTTGTCATAGCCTTGTCATTTATAGTGTGTAAATCTTATGGCCACAAGATAAGTTTCGGAAAGGGGCTAGAGGGCATAGGTTCCGACCTTTATTTGATACCCCAATGTAGCTATTAAAAATTTATTTGGTCATTTCATTGCTCCTCTCCCTTTTCTTTTGATAAAAATACAATAAAACATGTCTTCCTTTATCACCTCATTTCTAACATTGTTTAATTCTCTACATATTACCCTGACTGAAAATTAGAGGGAATGGAGATAGTTTGCGTGACTTTGAATCATTCGCTGACAGACATATGAAATTGGAAACTATTATCATTAATTATAACTCATTGGACCCTATTATCATTAATTATAACTCATTGGACCCTATTATGTGGGAAGAGTCACCCCATTTCTGTGACAATCAATATTCAAACTTTTAATTTCTTGTGATAGGCATCACCAAACAGCAAATTATCAAGGGCTCGAGATGTTAGATCTTTGACCTTCATCGTCAAGAATATCGAAGCTACACTAGGGCCTATGGAGATTACTGTTGAGCAGAAAAACAGTGAAGAGACTATTACGAAGAAAGATGATAGTGATGACACCGATACAAATAATGACAGTGAGCAGAACACGCAAACATCAAATATGGTTACTTCATCAGATAAAGCCGTAACAAGTGGCATAACTATGCATACTGGCAAGAGTGAAGAAAGTGAAAATATTCGCACTGAAATTGAGGGCAGTGAAGAGAGGACACAGACTTCAAATATCACAAAGCAACCCGGTGAAGCTGAAACTGTCCATGTGAATGACGGCACTACGCAGAATTACAAGGAGAACAATGATGTTGCCGCTAGTGAACTCAAACTCAAGGACAACACAGAGAATGCACACACAAATATTGAAAAATTGGCAGAAGAAGTCGGTGCTACAAATGAGGACTATGTACACAATAATAATAGCATACAAAATGGAGATATTGAAGATGATAACTTTGAAGATAATGATAATGTACAGAGCATACAGAATTCAAATATGGAAACAGCGGGTAGTGCCAAAAATAATGTGAAGAACACAGATAATGTACAGAGCATACATAATTCAAATATGGATACAGCAGGTAGTGCAGAAAATAATGTGAAGAACAAGGATACAGAAGATGATAACTCAAAATAGAGCACACAAACTTCAAATGTGTGAAAAATATCATCTATTGGATAAAGCTGCTGTGAATACAGCACAGAGTAAAATCACAGCATAGACAGATATACTTTCAAACTAGTACTTCACATAAAACTGAATACTGAAATCAGACTTCCAATAATGCTATCCTGCTGAATCTTTACAGGCAAGGTTTTTTGAATTTGCAAATAATGTCATGTTGGTGCATTTTTGCTGGAATGTTTATTATTCACATTGATTAGTTAATCATTTTGTACCTTCTGAAGACAAACATCTTTAAGAGCGATCAACTATTTTAAAGTGGGGAACCTTTTTGCTTTTAAGAGCGATCAACTATTTTAAAGTGGGGAACCTTTTTGCTGGAATGTTTATTATTCACATTGATTAGTTAATCATTTTGTACCTTCTGAAGACAAACATCTTTAAGAGCGATCAACTATTTTAAAGTGGGGAACCTTTTGATTCTTGTTGCATATATAATGACACTGTACAACTTTTAGATCAAGGCGATAAATAGGCATTTGCAATGAGTTCTCTCATTTAGCAGCTTCACAACTTTATTAATTTTCTAAGTTGCATAGCGTAAAAAAATGTTGAAAGTTTTATTAATAACCTGCTAATTGCTAAAAGCTTGACTCTAACTTATAGATAAACATTGAACTCTCGTTATATCAAGAGTATAATCAATTAAAGAAAGGATTCTAGAAAATGTATTAAAAGTTGTATTACTAGCATTTTTCTTCACGAGATATATTACCACTGTCACTGAGTAATAATACAAAGAAATGCTATTTAAACAACTATTTATTTTCTTAAACTAGTCATCCAATTAAAAACAAAAACCTTCTAATTTCTCACTATCTTCTACTATTGTTTTTCATGCAATATAAAATATCTCTTCATTTTATCCTTATTTTCTTTTTATTCATTATTCATTATCTTTATATTTTGTCCTTAAAATGAATTCATTATCTTTATATTTTGTCCTTAAAATGAATTCATTATCTTTATATTGTCATTGAAATGAAAAAATAGAAAATTATAATTGTTAGGTTTTAAAATCATTAAAAGAAAATTTAATTAAAAGTCATTCATAAAACTTGGGCTGAAATCTACTAATCTAATCTGCTGCAGTACATAAACATTTATGAGAAACCACAAAAAAAAATAACATGAAGTTAAATTAGCAAGCGTTTATTTATCGCCGCTAAAAATCAGAATAAATTGGTACAACAAAAAACATTGGTAGGTATCATGGGGGAATGAAATTGAGAACATAGATATGTAGAATATGTAGAATAAATCCTTATAAAATTTTCATCCTAAGTCTTAGATAAAGTGCATAATAAACGAGACAAAAATGAAAAACGAAGTTGTAGTAGTGAGTAAATGCAACTTTAAGCCCGAACTCCCCTAAGGCTAACCATGCGGGTAGATCCATCTCCGTGGGGTCCCCTCTGTGCTGAAGCCCCTTGACTCCTCCCTGAACCTTGATAGCCACCTCCACCAGTTCCTCGTCCTCTTGAATAGCCGCCACTCCCACCTGCTTGATTGAACGACAATGCACGTCCGCCATATCCTGCACGTCCACCGCCTTGCCTTGTTTGAGAATAGGACAAGTCTTGCCACCTTCCACCTGAAGATGTTCCACCACCAGCAGCTGCAGCAGCATAATCCTGGCCATCCCTCCGCCTTGGAGGAAGATCCAATCCACCACCGCCGAGTCTTGCTTCTGTAGCTCTTTCATTACTCTCTGCAAGGATAGATAATTTCTCAGTCAACTGGAATGCCAAAGCCTGCAGTCTTGAGTGTTCGACATTTCGGAAAATAATGCACCCAGATGGCTGATCCCAGCTTGCATGAAGCTCCTCATTGACCATCATCCTACTGACAATACTATGAACACGAGGAAGAGGGAGTTCGAAAAAATTTGTGAGCTGATTCACACTCAAAGAATCATATGATGATGCGAAGGTAAATAGGTATGTCCTAAGTGCCTCCTCCTTGATTTTGTCCTTCAGCATTTCTAGCACGGCGTCTCGGTTTTTCACAAATTTCCATACGTCAAGAGATGCAATAATGTCAAAAGCCTTGAGGAAGTCTCCTTTAATAAGAACCCTTGTGGCAGCCATAACATGATCCCTGACATTTTCAGGAGGACCCGTGAATGTTTGTTTCTCACTGACCTCAAGCAAGCGACGGAAATTCTTACTGATGATCCTTCGCTTTGCATCATGAACATTGGCTGCCATGTTGGGAACTTCCAACAACATAGCAGATGTGAGATGCACAGATTCCAAGAGCTCGAGATTTATATGCATATGATATGGCATCTGCCTTCTTCTTTCCAACCTTTCCTGAAAGAAGATTAAAAAAGATTGAACTGTGATGTTGACCATAACTTCCACATTTCCAAGACAGATGAATGAAACTAACTAAGGAAATAAGTACTCAGAAAAAAAATTAAAAATAAAAGCAAACTTAGCAACAAAAGACATAAGAGATGTGTGTGTGATTCATATAAATATCAGCTGTAAAGAGAACAGAGCTATCTGCAGCCAATAGTCAAATCAAATTGGTGTTTAAACTAGCCGAGTTGAGTAATATTATTGTACCTCAAAGCTGATTAACCCTACTCAATACAAACATAATGATAAATAATGAATCCTAACTACAACTCAGATCAACATCAAATATTTTCGATAAAATATTAAACAGGGATTTCTTTAGAGCATGGATGTCAGATCTATTGAAACGTATATGCACTTGACAGCAGTAAGTACATTTAGCAAAGTCATTATTTGAAACATCCATTTGAGAAAAAAAACATTGGATTTTAGTACCTGTTCTGGAGTCTTTTCATGATAACGGCTCTGCGAAACTCCTTGTGCAAGCAATTCTTTCACCCTTCCACCAGAATAGAGTTCAGCTAGACAGCCATGAGCTTCAGAAACCAGCCCAGCCCGAAAAGCACATAGACCTAACTGTGACATAGCCCTGTTAAAAAGTATCTGTGTTGAAATGTCCATGTGGTGAACATTTTCTTGCAAATGACTCATTAGCAACAGATCACGGGCTACAGTGAACTCGTCAAGAAGAGCATGGTGATATATATCACAAAGCATTGCACGTGCTTTAGTTCGCTCATCTCCATATTTGTATATTAGTGATACTAATACATCCATTAAGGCCCTGCTATTTTCAGGGAAGGTGGGTTTCCGGGCTACAACCTCAGGGGTAACAACAAATGCAGTGGGATTTCTTGTATCCTCAAAACCTTTTGACTCCTCACTCTCCTCATCTCCATCTTCTGTCATCTCAGCCAATTTCCTCATTGCCTCGTAAACTTCTTGTGATTTGTAGTAAATGAGTTCAACCCTCTTCAAGGCAACCTTAGAGGAAGCTTTGAAATCTCCAATCCTTTCAAGATATTCCTGGACATTCTGTGCAAGAACAACAAACATAGGTTCATCCCGGAGTCTCTCAACATATTCACGCGTGTGAGGATCTATGCACTGCAGGCTCTTGAAAAACTCAGCATCTATTTTCTCTAAGAAAGCAACTAAGTTGCCCCATACACGAATAGGTCCGTCATAATCAGCCCCTTTCTTGGTTTCATTCTCATCTAGTTCAACTGAATCATCAACTTTTATGTTTGGATGCTGCACTAGAATATCAAGAATGACCAACATATTCTGCACACATTTTTTCCACACACTGATGGGCATATGCCCACTAAGGCCAGGATTAACATCAAACTGGGCAGAAACCACACTGAAAAGAATTTCCAGCTTCTGTGCAGGTGTTTTAGCCACTTTTGTTAGGAACGTAAGCTGCTCAACCTGCTCAAACCTTCCAGTTCCTTTCTTCCCCCTAGCCGCCACAACCTCTTTGAACTTCTTGTTGACAGTGTCCCATGTGATCTCACTAGGGTTTTTCATGAACTGCCTCTCCAAAAGCCTGTCTTTCTTGCTAAGCTTTTGATCCCAAGCCCCTTCACCATCAGCATCAGGCTTCTCATCTTCATACTCAGCTTCAGAATCTGATTTTGGTTCCGGCTTCCTGAGCTGATCAACATCAATAATCTCACCATCGCTCTCATATTCTTCTTCAGACTCCTCATCCTCATCCTTTTCCTCCTCACTCTCAGGATTCTCCCTGCACTTGTTAATCAACTCTTCATACTGCTTATTGTTCTTCTTCAACTTCTGCTTCATCGAGTTGAAGGCTTTTGCATTGCTGCTACTCATCTTCTTTTTAGCATCCTTATTCGCCAAAGCCTCAGCCAAGAAATCTTCAAGCATTACAAGAGCCTTGATGTACAGATTAGGAACCTTCACCGACTCAATAACCCGCATAACTTTCTCAAGTTGCTTATTAATCTTATCAAAGCTCTCTTGCAAGCTGACCCAATCATTGATCTTAATCGCATTCTTCATCTGATCAACAGTAGAAGCCATTTCATCAAAACGCTTATCTTTGGCTGATTTAACAACACGCTTCTGACCATCCTCATCATCACTGTCAGTTGCATTACCCTGAAGGTAGTAATTACTTTTATTGCCTTGAGTTGCAGCAGATTCAACTGCTGCATTCTCAATTTCCTCATCATAATCACTTTGTTCCTCTTCTTCCGAATCACTGTCACCCTAAAATCCCATTTCGACAAAAACAACAACATGAATAAATTTTTCAATCACATAACGCAACTAAACAACAGTATAAAAATATAGCATACCTGAGTCCAAAATCTCGAAGCCATGGTTTTTCAAAAGTTCTGAGCAGCGTAGAGGAAAGTAACGACGTTAAATCACAACTCAATTGATACCATAAAACAGCGAAAAATAATAATCTTATTAGAAGAAAAAAATAAAAATTCGAGAATTAGGGGTTTGGCGTACCTTTTCGTGCAATTCGTGCTCTTGTCAGAAAAATGAAGATGATGAAGAAGAAACCGCGGCTACTATCCGATTGAGTTGCAGTGCCAATGTCGATAACTGTGTTAGGGTTAGGAATATTGGGCCATTTCAACTTAGTGGGCCAAGCCTGTATGTAGTTATAGAACCTACTATCCGAGAATTTAACCTGTTAGTCCGCTATCCCAAAATTATATCCGGCACCTCCCAAACTTTTATATTTTCAAATTGTTTCTCGTTGAAAAATACACTAAATTTTCGTATGAAATTTATAATAAAATTTTTAGTATTTCACAAAAAAAATTTATAATGTATTTTAAATTTTTGATATACTAGAAATTTTGAAATTTCTGATAAGTTGCATTTTTGGTAGTTTTATTTGTTTGATTTTTTGGATGATTAGGATTTTGTCGACAATTTTGGATGAATGTGATTTCACCGACACTTTGTGTGGTTCAGAATAAATACAAAGTTGTATAAATATGGGTCACATGTTGTTCGATAAACACATCTAAAAAAAATGTCTCTTCCTCAATTTTTGATTAAGGTAGAAGTGTACTTCAACGAAGCTTCACCTCCTGTAGAGTTTCGGATTTCAGATGGCACCCGTCTCTTGTTGGCCTGACGTCGAAGTTGAATTAATTGTTGTCTGGTGCTGAAAATAGAAAGGTGAAAAAGATTGAGTTTCGTGAAGATTAGATTGATATTAACGGGAGGTTGGAATACAATCTTATATAATTTGAAGACCGACAAATATGTGAAAAAAATACGGCGATCATTTTGTCATAGGATAATAAAGGGGTCTATCGAGTTAGATGCTAAGCTTTCAAGATCTGTTGACAACATAATTGAGATGCTGAAACGTTCATAAGCGTCTGGTATTGTTTAGGAATACTCCTGTAGTTCCTTCCATTCTGCAGCCAACAGTGAATAACCTAGTGTGTGTTGTTCCTCTTAAGTTTTATCTCCAACCAATTCTTTTGAAGCCTCAGAATCAGCATCATCACCTATTAAGTCTCAGGGGCATGGGAATCTAGATTGGAGAGGCAATAAGAAGTTTCAGTTGCGCCCTATTCTCGACCTTATTCATATACCGTGTGGACAACTACTATCATACCTGATTCAAAGTTTATTGGTCATACCCATATCCCTCGGGCCAGCTCGTACTCCTCTTTCACCTGGATATGATCTGAATGCACAGTGTGAATACCATAAAGGGGCGAGGGGGCATTTTGTTGAAGGTTGTTGGTCATTCAAGAATAAAGTTTGAAAGTTAATTAACAACAAATGCCTAGTCTTCGAGGAAGACAACCCAGGGGCAGAATGTGGGTATCACACTAGAATCATAGGGCATGCTGTTGAAGAGTGTGAAAGATTTGGAAACAAGTTGTAAAGATTGACCAGAAAGGAAGACCCTAACGTAAATGGTTCAACTCAAAGATCTGGCAAAGAGAAAGTACAAAAGTTTCGTGGACCAATCAAAATCCTATACCACAAGGAAAAGATCAAGTTTATAGCAGATGAGATGTCTTTATCCTCTGATAATCGTGTTAAAACCATGACCTGGGATACTACCACCTCAAAAGAAGAGCTGGGAGAGAAGTCCAAAAGGGTTGTATCTACCGATGAGACCCCAAAAAACACTTTAGAGAACATCTCATTGACGCTAATGACAATGGCGACATCAACATTTGGGTCCCAAAAGGACAACCAACAATACCTAGGGAACCATGTCAGAAACCTTGGGCCGCTCCCTATACAAATCAACGAGCATATGGATGAGGAAATCAGGATCCACGCCAGAATCAATATAGGCCTCGCAACAATTTGGAAAGAAGGACCACTCCTCTCCATGCAGTTCTTGTGTCTTACACTCGGCTTCTGCCACATTTGATTCGAAATTCACTGATGGAGCCTAAGTCTCTCAAGTTGGTGCCAGAACCATACCCTCCTCGGTACGATCCCAAGGCGCATTGTGGATATCGCGCTGGATCAACAATTGATTGACGAGAAGTGCATATCCTTTCAAGAAGGGAGTTTGGTTGTGTGTATCAGCCTCGCATCCAAATGAGTTCAAAGACTTCAAGATGCATCTTCTCAAGACAATGAATTAAGAAAGAAGAACCTAGTTCTTCAATGCTGGCAGTTTTTTTAGATCTTATCATTTATATGCATTTGTAGTTTCTTTTCTATTAAGTGTTATTTTCTTTTAGACGTTGTTATTTATTAATGGTATTGTTAATGTTGTGAGGGCAAAGCCTCATATATAGATGTGTTCGTTTTGATGATGTTAAAACTCCGTTCCACATAAGAATATATGTTGGGCGTTATCACCATGTTGCATTTGCATGTCTTGTTTCTCATAATTCAAATGCTCGCATAAAATATCTCGGTTGTTGCATATAGATTGTCAAAAATATGTGTCATATGAGTTAGACTTTATTGGTGTCGCTTTCCATATCATAGATGGCATCAAAAGTGTCGAAAAATATGAACATAGGCATTTTTGACAGTTTCAGGGCTTTGAGTCGACCAAAGATCTGTTCCGGTCGACTCACACTGTAAGTCAGTTTTGTGAATTTGCTTCAGGTGGGCTCACGTCGACCCACCGGTGGACTCATACTGTAAGCATTTTAATCTGTATAAAAATGCATGTTATGCGTCGACGCATACCTTGTTCCGATCAACGCATGGTTCTGTGACTTGCACAATTTTACAATCAGGTCAGCTCAAGTCGACCCTCTCTTCTGCATAGGTCGACTGCTCGCTGTTTTATGTTAATTTTTTGTTATGTCAACTATTTTTGTGAAGTGGTTTTGGTTGTTATGACAATTATGTTTGGTATATAAGCTCAGTTGTTATTTTCACTTCGTAACATTGAGAAAAACAAGAAAAGTGAAATAGGTGTTGATTTGGATCTCATCATCTTCATTCTCTTCATAGCATATCACAACAATTACACATAATCATCTTTGCTGTGCATTGTGCATTGTTAGAGGTGATAACGTTCAAAGCCGAAGAGTTGGTTATCCAATTCGGGTTGAGGAATCAACAGGGTTTTCTTTAATAAAACCTCTAGGGTTTTGTCCTCCAAGATTCTCTGAATTTGGGGGTTTTTTCACGATTCGTCTCATCACATATTCAGCCGAGTGAAGGTAATCGAGGAGCTGAAGATTTTGTCGATTTAGTAACGATAAACGGAGGATTGTGAGTGGGAGTTTCGGGTTCGACACGCGGGTGATTGAAACCAACCGGGCCAGATTTTGAAGACTGAAGGTTGTTCAAAGATAGTGTCACAATCAGAGGTTTATTCACAACAGTCGAAGTACTTGATTCGACTCGAATCAAGGGGCAAGAAAAAATAGGATCTACAACAATAATAGTGTTTGTTTGTTTGATAGTTATTCGCTTCTTGTATAAACTTTCAACAATAGGTTATATATATATATATATATATATATATATATATATATATATATATATATATATATATATATATATATATATATATATATATATATATATATATATATATATATATATATATATATATATATATATATATATATATATATATATATATATATATATATATATATATATATATATATATATATATTAATAGGTCTTAATTCTACTATTAGAATTGAGGAAAAACGTATCCCCGAACGAGGACGACGGGGGAACTGCCTCAACAAATCGTTGTGTCTTTTGCTTTACATTTATATTGCTTAATATCTGTGTTTTTAGTGCAAACGATTATATCAATCTAGGTTTGATTTGAGTAGTGCTAAACTGATTTTGGACCTAGTACAATCATTGATTGTAAAAGGAAACTTAAGCAATACACTCTAAAAACAGAACTCACTTATAGTGCTTTGCACGCCAAGTGTTTGATAAATTGTCTGAACTAAAAGCCTTGTGTGTTGTCTTTTCATAGTGTTAATATTTTTAAGGCATTGGAACTAGTCATACCGTATAGTGAGCTGAATCAAATTGATAGTGTGACTAACGTAGTGATTCTCATATCTCGTTATCGGATTCCATAGGCTTAACGTATATCCGGTTTTCTAGTAACCGTTCGTTTTAGACGTGTATAGTTCCTCGGCCGCTTCCGCAAATTAAACAATTTTTAAAAACCAATTTTATTGGTAGCGCCGGCTCTTTTAAGCAAGCGATCTATTTAACCCCCCATTCTAGATTTGTGCCATTGTCTAACAAATGTAATGGTTATACATCTTTTGAGAAAATCCATTTGTATTCACTCATATTTTCTCATTTATTTCAAAAATAATCACAAAAAATTTCACATCACTTCTTTTATCACATTGTTGTTTAGCAAAGATTTAAGGGAGGATGACGAAAGCTAAATACCCATAATTGCTGATAGTATACTTTCGGATAAAATCTCGCTAATGATGTACAAACATTGTTTCAAATCCCCAAACACTGGAGAGATAAAGAGTTAGTCCCTAGTTAACCACTTCGAGCCTAGAAGTAGGAGTTTCCTTCAGATTTCTAAACTCTTACACTTAACCTGGGGCATGGGTAGTGTTCAGTTAACCTGAGTACGCACTCAAATCATGAGACAAAGTCCAAGAGATGACGGTTGTTCATCAATGACCAATGACTTGGCAGTCATAAGCCTTTCAAAAAAATATAATAAAAGCCTGCTAGGTCGAACACCTCAAAAGGAGACAAAAAATATCAAGGCAATCTCGATGGACTCGAAGAGTAAGATCGGTTCATGCAAAAGTTAGAAATCAAAATAAAAATCAAAAAAGGCCCTCAAGTCCTCAAGAAAAACAAAATAAGATTTAGTGGTCACCATATCAAAAATCAAAGG